GATGCTGCTTCTCTCCTGCACAGCCTGGGCCAGAGTTTGATTAGCTGGGCCTGGCTCTCCCGGTTACCCAACAGGCCAGCTGGCTGGAGGCCAGGCTGCAGTGGGGAGGCTCCCTGGCACCTCCTCCTGCCTTCCCTCCCAGCTGGTAAACAGCAGAGCAGGAGCCAGCCACGCCACAGCCTCGTGACTCCCCCGCAGCCCCCCCTCCCAACCTGGTGCACGTGGCACCTGGCGTGGAGCGGGCAGGCAGCTGTCCCTTCCTCCCGGGCCCTCCCACCTCGCCAGTCTCCGCTCCTGCTCGGCCCTGGAGCTCCAGACTCTGCTGCCATCAGCACCTGGGCTCCCGGGCAGCTCCCAGTACAGCTGGAGGGACAAAGGTTAGACGCAGAGGAGGACTTTCCGGCTCCCCAGGAGACGGGGAATGAGGGAGAGCGGAGCGGAAACTTTTGGGGAACCTTCTCATACGAAGAGTCTGAGGGTGTGTGTGCGTGCGCCTCTGACTGTCCCCATGTCCTTTTGGTAAATGCTTAACCCACGCGTCTATGCGCGCTTCCCTGCACCCAACAGGATGTCAGTCTGTTCTGGGGCTCTGTCCTTGGGCAGGCTTGGAGTTAGAAGCAAAATTCTCCAAAATACACCCCCCACCCCCACCCCTGCCAGCACCTTCTGGTAGACAAGGAGAGCCAGCAGGAGGCAGAAGGCTGGGTGCTGGCATGTTGCCCTGCTCTCCCTTCCCCCAGAGGCCTGGCATTGCTTCCATCCACGCAGTATCCTCTGTCTGCCTCCCTGTAGCCCCTTCCTGTCGATGGCACTTCTGTTCTCTGTCCTCTCCAGCTACTCCCTCTCTGTCTCTTCTCCTCTTTAAAAAAAAAAAAAAAAAAAAAAAAAAAATATATATATATATATATATATATATATATATATATTTTGCCGAAACCGGTTTGGCTCAGTGGTAGAGCGTCGGTCTGCGGACTGAAAGGTTCCAGGTTCGATTCCAGTCAGGGGCATGTACATTGGTTGCAGGCACATCCCCGGTAGGGGGTGTGCAAGAGGCAGCTGGTCGGTGTTTCTCTCATCGACATTTCTAGCTCTCTCTCTCCCTTCCTCTCTGTAAAAAAATCAATAAAAATATGTTTAAAAATATATATATATATATATTTTATTGATTTTTTACAGAGAGGAAGGAAGAGGGATAGAAAGTTAGAAACATCAATGATGTGAGAGAAACATCAATCAGCTGCCTCCTGCACACCCCCTACTGGGGATGTGCCCGCAACCAAGGTACATGCCCTTGACTGGAATCGAACCTGGAACCTTTCAGTCCGCAGGCCGACGCTCTATCCACTGAGCCAAACTGGTTTCAGCTGTCTCGTATTCTCTTTAAGCCCCTCTCCCTCTGCAGCTTTGGGTCTCCTGGGCGCTTCCTGACTTCCCAACTGTGGACACTGAGCAAAACAAGGCCGAGGGCCCGGGAATGGGCACTGGGCTCTGAAACTCTGCCAGGCAGCCCCACCCACCCCAGATACCACAGGTACGGCTGCCTCTCTCAGCTGTGCTGCTTGGTGCCACTGTGTGGGATGGGGAGGAAGGAAGGGGAGGGCAGGGGGTTGGAAGGCAGGGTCCTGGCCTCCAGGCCTACGTGAGTCACATGCTTCTTAGACATTCTCACGTCTCTGCCCCTTTCCTGCCCGAAGCATGAATGACTGGGGTTGTTTCTTCCCAGGGCGAGAAGGCACCTCGGTCATCCTTTCGGGAAGTCCCCCCACCCCCACCCCCCACCCCACCATGCCTACCCTCCCTCCCTCCTGCTCCAATCACAGCCCCTTTTCTAGATGAATCAGACCTCTCGGAGCCGGGCAGTGGGTATTTCCTCCTCAGACACACAGAAGAGACTCATTTCACCCCCCACGTGCCCAAGTTCCCTTATCAAGCTGGCATCTTGGCCCAGGGTCAAGCAGCCCGGGAGGGGATGGAGGGCGGTGGTGGCGGCTTGGAACTGGGGAGCAGTCACCAACTTCTCTTTCCCTTCCTCCCCACCCCCTAAACCACAGAAACCACTTGAAGCCGAGTGCAAGCCTGGCCTTCTAGGGAGGGCCTGGGCCGTGAAGGTGACAAGTGTGTGGTCTGGGCAGCCATCCTTGGAGGCCCACGCTCTCGGGAAGCCCAATCCAGCGATGAGGGACCAGCTTTCTTGAGGTCCTCTCCAGGCGGTCCATGCCTGAGGAGACCTCAGCCAGCTGGAATGACTCCAGGAGGGGATGGTACCCCTCCCAGCTCATCCATTAACAAAAGAACAACCCGGCTTCTGTAAACATCTATAGATCTCTCAGCCTCCACCCTTTCTCCCTCCGTCACAAAGGCCACTGTGGGTGGAGGGAGCAGCTGGAGTTTGACCCCAGCTTCGGGCCCTGAACTTTCCACGGTGACCTGGCCAGACCACTCGTCTGTCTGTGAACATGTGCGGCCACGTAGGCTTGGACACAACAAGGAGCGATGACAAGCAGGAACCAGAAGAGAATAAGAAGCCTCACCGGTTTGGCTCAGTGGATAGAGCGTCGGCCTGCGGACTGAAGGGTCCCGGGTTCGATCCCGGTCAAGGGCATGTACCTTGATTGCAGGCACATCCCCAGTGGGGGTTGTGCAGGAGGCAGCTAATGGATGTTTCTCTCTCATCGATGTTTCTAACTCTCTCTCCCTCTCCCTTTCTCTCTGTAAAAAAAAATCAATAAAATATATTTTAAAAAGAATGTGTCCTGCCACTCAGTAGTCCTCAGTTACAAAAGGGGTCTACTTGTTGGTGAATGTGCTTGTGCTCGGAGGGATTCTTAGGGCCTCATCTGCTCTGATCCCCCCACCCCCCATCCCTGGGGCATATTTCTGCGGGTTAGCTGGCCAGGAAGTTCCTCCAGGGACATTGTGGCTCCGTCACAGGCGAGTTCACCGCAGTGAATACTGAGTGGACTGCTCCTCCATGGGGTGGACTTGAATTCTCCTCACAGCCTGCTCTGGGTGAGAGGGGGGAGGGGGCCGTGGGGGGCCTAGGCGGGGCTGCAGTCCTGAATCTCCCCTGCAGCCAGGCGGGTCCCCAGGCAGGTGTAGGTCACCTCTCTGATCCAGCTCCTCCCTAAAATGGGAATACACCTACCTCACCGAGTGGGTGTGACAATGAACTGGGGTAACAGGTAAAACACAGGACCCCCTCCATTCCTATAATCATCCCTTCTTCTCTTGATCTGACATGCCCCTTTCCCCCTTTTATTTTCCTCTGTGACATATCACCCAGGAACATTTTTTACATTTCATTTATTTTGTATCTTGTCTGACCTCACCTGATTTGACCACAGCTGTACCCGATGCCTATTACCTCCGAGGCCCTCCCTGAGTGTTTGTTGGAGAAACGCATGGACGAAGGTTAAACGACATGGACATTTCTTGCCAGTCATTTTCCAACGGTTGTTACCAGGAGATTTGGGGCTGACGCAGAGGACAGCACTAGGGACAGTGAGGCTGAGGGTGGCCTTCTCAGGCTGAGCCTGCTGGAAGTTGGAAGGAGATCCCTTTCAGAGCGACTTGGTTGGGGAAGCGGTAGCTGGCACCATAGTGAAGTGACTCTGGGTTCCATCCTAATTCTACTTCTCATGAGATGAGTCAAGTCCAAAGTCACATTGAATGTAATAGTATTTAACCCTCCAGGGAGTTGCCGGCAGAAAGAAATGACTTTGATGACTTTACAAATTGGAACAGTTCTTTGAGTGGTGGTTCTCTTGTTGGTTAATGCTACCACCTGGTGGACACCTGGAGCAAGCCATGTCCCTGGCCTGGGAGGCCTAGAGCTGTGTGTGTGTGTGTGTGTGTGTGTGTGTGTGTGTGTGTGTGTGTGTGGTAGTGGTGATAGTGGTGGTAGTGGTGGGGTGCTCAGGGGAGGAAGAAGGAACTGGGGAGCCATCTGAATGGAGAGATGTGCTGTGTTAGCATTACACGTGCTGAGGTTTACCGGGATCCTGCAGGCTCCGCCCTGGTTCAGGACTCTATGGAAAATGAGAAAGGGCCCACAGGGAGGGCAAAAGAAGCAGAGTTAGGCGAGTACCTCCCTCCTTCCCTCCTCCCCTTCTCCAAGCCAGGCCTGAGCCAAGAGGAACCAGCTCCAGGAAAGGGGGGGGGGGGAAGAGAGAGAGAGAGAGAGAGAGAGAAGAAGGTCACTGTTGACGTCAGAGACAGACATTCAGGTAAGAGGTAAACACAATCTGACCTACATTCAGTCATCCATCTGCCACACCCTCCCCTGCTCACCGGGGTGCCCTTTTCTGGGCATCCCCCAGCTCTCACACTCCGGGAGGACTCCCTCCTCTCGCAAGATCTCAGTTCCTGGGACGTCATGTTTTGGTCATTCAGTACCCAGCACGTGGCACAGGTGTGGAAGGGAAAGGCAAGAGAGAGGACTCCCGAAGGCACTCCCTTAGCTATTCCCTCTCTCTCCGGGTCAGATGTGGCTGGAGCAGGGCGGTGGGTGGGCTGATTTGCCCTGTGCAGCGGCCAGGAGCCCCAGGGAAGGTGACTTATGTTGGTTTCAGTCACAGAACGTTTCCTGGGGAGTGACTCAGTGGTTAGAGTGGCCCCTGAAAGGATGAGAGCCTTGTGGGACAGGGACCCTAGTTCCTCCCAGGCTCAGACCTGCTGAAACTATCACCAGTGTTTCCTGGAGACGGAGACGGGGACTCTGCATGTTTCACCAGCTCCCCCAGGGTTTCCGATGTCTGGTTATGCTGATGCTCTTCCAAGTTTCAGGTCTGCCCCAACGCATCTGAATGAGCTTCTTCCAGGGCGGAGGGAGGAGGGCAGCTGCAGACCGGAGTGCATGCACGGTGCCCACCGTGGCAATATCCCACTAGAGACACACGGGCCTTTTATTACCAAAAATAAATACATGCCAGGCCGAGGGAAGAAGACACGGAGGCTGCAGGCCCAGCGGAGAGCTCCGGAGGAAGAAGACGATCTCCTGTCTACAGGGTGAGATGGACAGGTGCCAGAGAGGTCCCTGGGCCTAGCCCCCCACCCAAGGGGGGCAGCAGGGCCAGCAGGGGCGTCTCACACGCGCCCAGCAGCACATCCCTGCGCAGCCCCGCGCCCTTGTCCAGCACCTTGGCCCGCAGGCGGCGGGCGGCCAGGTCCAGAGGGCTGAGCCCGTCGAAATAGAAGTCCTCGTTGAAGATGGGGTTGGCGCTGCACCGGACCACGCGGCTGCGCTGACCCCGCGGCCGGAGACGAGGCCGCAGCCCGAGCACCACGAAGCAGCCGCTGCCGCAGCTCCCGGGCCCGGCCCTGCAGCGGGGCAGGCCCTCGGCGCTGACCAGGCGCAGCCGCAGGCGCCCGGGCCCGGCCTGGTACTCGGCGGAGAGGCGCAGCTGCCCGCCGCGCGGCCCCAGGCGCAGCAGGCTGTCCCGCGCGGGCCGCAGGCGGCGGCACAGCACGTCCAGGTGGAAGAGCGGCGGCCGGACCGGCTCCCCGCGGCGGGGCGCGTGCGGGCTGGCGTCCGCCGAGCTCCCCTCCTCCTCCTCCTCCTCCTCCGGGGGCCGCGAGTGCGGCCGCGGGGAGCCGAAGGAGGGCGACGAGTCGGGCGACGAGGCCGGGTCGCTGTCGGGCGCCCAGCAGAGGCGCAGGTCCGGGGCGGACACGTGCAGCCGCGCGGGCGCCGGGGGCGGCGTGTCCGGGCCGGGCGGCCGCGGGTGGAACAGGGACTCCCGCCGGCGCGTGTGCGGGCTCTCGGGCAGGAAGGGCCAGCCCCCGCGGCCCGCCAGGTGCGGCAGCGAGCAGGCCCCCGGGAGGCCGCCGCGCCCCCCCGCCGCGCGCCCGGCCTGCGGCTCGGAGGGGCCGGGGCCCGGGAGCCGCGGGGGGATGAAGAAGGGCGGGATGCGGTCGGGCGTGAGGACGTTGGGGCAGGCGGGCGGCGCGGGGCCCGGGGCGCGGCGCTTGGGGAGCAGGCTGCGGGGCGCCCAGCGGGGCCCGGGCTCCGCGGCCCCCGCCCGGTAGCCAGCTTTCTCCAGGAGCCACATGCGGCAGGCGGGGGTGGGAGGGCGGGTCCTGAGGCCCAGAGGTGCCCGGTGCGGGGTCTCCGTGCGGAGGCTGGGCGAGGAGAGAAGGGGAGGAGAGGTGGGTGATGGTAGAAAGCACACCGTCCCCCACCCTCCACCCTTCACCCTCCACCCCTCACCCCGCTGCGACCTCTCCCGGGGCCCAACTAAGGTGACCAGCCGTCCCGCTTTTGGCCCGCATCCCGCGGCGTTTCGGGACTTCTCTTAAAAATCGGGATTGTCCCACCAAAAGCGGGACGCCTGGTCACTTTACAAGGCGCACGCACAGGCCCCTCTATTTGAGCTGGAAAAACCAAGGATGGCCAAGTCTGGGACCCAGGAAGAAGCAGAGGGAGCCCTGGGCTGGACCCATGTTCAGATGCAGGCCTTGGACTCTCCCATGGGTGCTACCGATGTCACCCACTTCAGAGTGAGGAGGCCCAGCACATCCACTAGAGTCCTGGGCTCCCACGAGGAGACTAGAGTTAACAGCCGTTTATCCAAAGCTCTGTCGTCTTAAACAGGGGCCCAAGTCCTGAACCCCATTCATGTACCCACTCCCTCGAAAGAGCTCACCCACCTCCTCTCCCTGGCCCATTCCCACTTTGGGACCTAACGCAAGGTCTGACCTGGAGGCCTTGGCGAGCCCACAGCTGCCATCCCAGGCCCCACCGAGAACTTTCCAGGCGGAGCCACCCTTCTCCATACCGAGCCAGCCCCACCCGCCTCCTCTGGCTCCCACCTCGCCTACCCCAGTCCCTCCTGCCAGAGCAGATGCGCTGCACAGCTGGCTGCTGCCCTGCGAGCACCGTTCTAGGAGATCCACCCACCTCACCCGCCCGTGGGCACAGAATCCCACCCGCCTGAAGCCCTGAGGTCTGGGTCCCTGCCTCCCTGCCCCAAGGCATCCAGAGTCCGCTGGGCAGGGCAGGGCAGGGCAGGGCAGGCGAGCCCGCCCGCTGCGCTGCCCCTCCCACTCTCCTCTCCTTTCTGCTTAGGAAACCACTGAGCACAAAGGCGGTATTGATTCCCCGCCACCCTCAGCGGGCTCCCGGAGGCTCCGCCACCTCGCGCTCCCCGCACCCCGCGAGCGCGTTTCCCCGCGGTCTGCCCCGGAGACGGAGCCCACCGCGGGCTCGCTCCGGTGCCCGGGGTGCAGGCCTCACCTTTGGGCCGCCGCTGGGGCTCGGCCTCCGCCCGGGAGGTGCTCGGAGCCCCGGGGAGCAGCTTCCTCTTCGGCTAGCTCCCCCAGCCCGGGCCTTCTGGGAGGAGCTGGCAGGGGCCGCCGCTGCCTACGTCTGACCTCTTTTCCTGGATAAACAGCGCCCTGTCTCTGTGACCATCAGCCTGGCCTTAACTCCTTCCTCCAGCCAGGTTTGTCACAGCAAGCCAGCCCCGTGAATAATTGCATACTTAAATCACAGGGGAAGGAAAAAATGTGATCAATGAATGCCATAAAGGAAAAGTATGGGGCGCTGCGAAACTGTACAGCCGAAGCCCCTAATTTAAATGACGGGGTGTCAGGGAGGGTCTCCAGAACTGGAGGATGAGGGGTAATAATGGTCCAAGGAGAGAGCCCACACAAAGATCCTAAGGAGGAAATGAGCTTGGTTTGATGCCTGTGAGAGACTGAAGGATGGTGGGTATGTCTGGGGTGCAGCTGCTGGGCCTGGGCTCCTTGGGAGTTGGGGAGGGCTTCAGGAAAGAGGGAGGTAGGTGGCCATCAGGCTCATGGCCATGGACACACACATCACTGCCAGAAACCAATTCCACATGTAATAATTACAAGGGCTGAGCTACATATGTAATTACGTGTTAGAACGGCTGGAGGGCATCTAAATAGGACATTTCCCCAAACATAAAGATTTGTATATAGGATTTAAAAAATATATATATTTTATTGATTTTTTACAGAGAGGAAGAGAGAGATATAGAGAGTTAGAAACACCGATGAGAGAGAATCATTGATCAGCTGCCTCTTGCACACCCCCTACCCGGGATGTGCCCCCAACCAAAATACATGCCCTCGACCGGAATCAAACCCAGGACCTTTCAGTCTACAGTCTGACACTCTATCCACTGAGCCAAACCGGTTTCAGCTGTATATAGGATTGTTAGCTGCCAGACAGCTCAGAGCATCTTAAATCTGCACGTCATTGCCTCCTGTTGGCCAAAGACCTGAACAGCTGTAGGCTATTCCCCAAACTGACAATGCTTCTGTAAACCTTACCCTTTGAAGTGTACTATCTCCACCTTGCCTCAGGACAAATTATGTTAAGAAATAGCTCGGGGTCCTTAGACAAGGGGGAGTCTTCAGTACCCTTTAGCTGAAGCTCCCCAATGCCTTTCAAAATTATCTTTCGTCCTTGGACTCCTTAATTTACGTATCAGCTCCTTTCCCCAGATTGCAACACCCCCTTGTTAATGCTGGGACAAGAATCCTGGCACGTCACATCTGCAAAACCCTCCTTGCTGGAATCCTTTGGCTTCCATTGTCTTATTCTCCCAGACAGAGTGAGGGAGAGATGAGGCCGGACACACCTGCTTGCATGAACTGGTTTTTCTCCTCATTGCCTTATTCACTCTGCTCGCTCCTGGTACTTGACGCGCCTGAATAACACAGCCGCTGCTTCCAGCAGAAGAAGCTGCGGCCTTGGCCTGGATGGCCTATTGGATCCCATCCCACTGCCGCCTTCCAGATGAGCACGCTGGGTAGGGGAATGGGTGTTTGTTTCAGACAAAGGGGTTTTTATTGAGTCTATGCCATACATGGCCTCTTGGGAGAGAAGAGGCAGCTGTCAAAGCCCTAGACACTAGGAAGTGTTTCAGAGGCTGATGAACTTACTTCCTTAACCAAGATCCCTGCCTGCCTGCCCCCTGGCCTTGGTCAGTGATGGCTGGCTCCCACCTGCCTGTGAGACTCTGTAGATTTCCAATTCATGCCTGTTCCTCCTAGAAAATGGCCCCAGCACAGAAGTGCCAGGACCCACTCAACCTACTTTAATATGGAAACTGAAGTATAGCTGGTTTGTTTCTTCTTCGCTGCCCAAGAAGGGTTCCCTTCTTCTCTTGGGAGTGTTGAAATGAAGATTAGGATCCTAGCTGGTTTGGCTCAGTGGATAGAGTATCCACCTATAGACTGAAGCGTCCCAGGTTCGATTCCGGTCAAGGGCACATGCCTGGGTTGTGGCTTGATCCCCAGTGGGGGGGGGGGGCGTGCAGGAGGCAGCCAATCAATGATTCTCTCTCATCATTGGTGTTTCTATCTCTCGCTCCCTATCCTTCCTCTCTGAAATCAATATATATATATATATATATATATATATATATATATATATATATATATATATTTTAATGAAGATTAGGCACTTCTTGTCCACGAATCAAAGTTAATCAGGTATTTGGTATGCAATGATTTAGACTCTGGGTTTAACAGATTATCAGGGGCAACTGAGAAAGCATACAAAGAGAAAGGGGTTTTTATTGAGTCCATGGCGGGTGGGTAGGGGTTGGGGGGTAGTTTTTTGCCACGTGGGTTTTGGTTATGGCCCAAACCCTGTTAAGGCATCCTACTGCCTACCAGACAGAGTTCAAGCTCTCAGCAGGGTTTGTGGAGCCTCTGTGGCCTGCCTTTGTCCTTGCCCCCCTCTCTTTCCCTCCGCGCCTCCCCCACTCTGTGTGGTCAGCTCCTGGCTGATGGTTGTGCATCTCAAGACCAGGGGTCCTATCTTTCCATTGCTGTGTGCTCGATGCGTCCTGTAGCGCCTGGTGCTCAGCAGGGGCTCAGTAAATCTCTTCCGTGGGTATCGACTGGAAGTTGGGGTTTGGGGGAGACCTGGAAGGATTTTGATTTCCGACTACAAGAAGGGTCTTGAGCTGAAATAGGGCCGAGAGACTTTATTTGCTCAAAGGAAAGTGCCCCCTCCTTCACCTCATCAGTGGATTCCATGGGGAGCCCTCCCTATCGTGGGGTGGGGGGGTCCCAAGCAGGCAGAACAGTCAGAGGTAGGCTCTCTGGTTACTCCTGTTCTAGCTGCAGCTGAAGGAAAACACCTGGAAGAGAAAGAAGGGCAAGTGGGTAGCAGGAGTGAGGGTTGTGATGGAAGAGCTTGGTGGGGTGCTTTGAGCATTTGCATCCAGTTGCCTGGAACCCTGTCCTGTGGTACAGGTTAGGCAACTCACACAGAGGGGAAAAAAAAAAAAAATCTTACGCCCTAACCAGTTCTACTTAGTGGTTAGAGCATCAGCCCGCAGACTGAAGAGTCCCGCCTTCGACTCTAGTCAAGGGCAGTACCTCGGTTGTGGGCTTGTCTCTCTCACATTGATGTTTCTCTCTCTCCCTCCTCCCTCCTTTCCACTCTCTCTACAAATTAATTAATTAATTTAAAAAAATCCTAGTTGATCTTTCTCTCACTTCCCCTGTGCCTATAGCACGCGCCCAATCCCTGGTGGAGACTTGGGACTGGATCCTGAGCATTCTTTCTGCCATCTGGCCCCAGGAGCCGGCGGAGGGAGGACAGGGCCGGGGCTGAAGGACCCCGTTACCTGAGGACTTGGCATAGACTGTCTCCTGGTCTCTGGTCTGGGTGATGCAGGACAGATAAAGCTTCTGGTCCTCAATCTTGTCCACGCTGACGTTCAGGACAGCCAGTGAGCCCACGGGGATCATGCTGGGAGAGGAGATGGCTTAGTCCAGCCCTCCCGTGGACCCCCGGCCCTCACCCCTCCACCCTTCTGTCCCCATCCTTCTCTTCACCCCACCCGGCCTCAAGCGGGTGGCTCTGGGCTCAGGGCTGGCCTGCCAGCTCCCAGAGCAGATGGCAGGGGTGGTTTTCGGGCAGCGGGAGGGGAAGGAGACGGAGGCAGTGCTCCTAAACCCCAACTGCAGAAGATGGCCACCCTCAGGACCATGACCGTGCGGCTCTGTACTTACTTTTTGAACCTGATGCTGAGGCTGAGTGTTAACAGCCCCTCTCCAGCCAGGTAGGCAGTTTTAGAAAAGGTCTCGTCCATCATGGTGGCCAGGGACCCTCCGTGGGCAAACCTGGGGGGTGGGGGGGGGGAGAGAAGCAAGGCAGGGCTGTGGGCTGGGCAGACACTCCCTGAGCCTTCCCCAGACCCTGAGGGGGAACCACCAGCTCTGCCTTCCTCAGGAAAGGGAAAGGGACAGAGCTGGATTCCATCTGATCAAATCCTTCTAAACCAACCTTTACTCCTGCAGGAATTAGCAGCCATTGGACAATTATTTTATTTAGCCAGGAAGAAAGGTTTTGTGTGTTTTTTTTTCCCTAATAGAGTTCGTCGAAAAGCGTTTTCCCCCCCCGATTCATCACCTAATTGCTGTAACCTATCTCCCCGACTGTCTAGATCAGTAGATCAGTGGTTCTTAACCTTTCTAATGCCGCGACCCTTTTAATACAATTCCTCATGTTGTGGAGACCACCAGCCATAAAATTATTTTCATTGCCGAAACTGGTTTGGCTCAGTGGATAGAGCGTCGATCTGCGGACTGAAGGGTCCCAGGTTCGATTCCGGTCAGGGGCATGTACATTGGTTGTGGGCACATCCCCGGTTGGGGTTGTGCAGGAGGCAGCTGATGTGTCTCTCTCATTGATGTCTCTAGCTCTCTATCCCTCTCCCTTTCTCTCTGTGAAAAATCAATAAAATAACAAAATTTATTTTCGTTGCTACTTCTTAACTGTAATTTTGCTACTGTTATTGAATCGTAATGTAAATATCTGTGCTTTCCGATGGTCTTAGGTGACCCTGCTAGCAGTTCTCAACCTGTGGGTCGTGAACTAGAGCCACTGCTGTAGAACCTAAGACCATCGGAAAACAGATATTTACATTACGATTCATTAACAGTAGCAAAATTACAGTTAAGAAGTAGCAACGAAAATAATTTTATGGCTGGGGGGTCACCACAACACGAGGGAACTGCACTAAAGGGACACGACATTAGAAAGGTTGAGAACCACTGGTCTCAGGGCTGGGTGGGTGCTTGTGAGACAATAGAAAATAGATAGATTGGTCTCTGCCCCCCAATTCCTGGCTCAGAGCTCCTGAAACCCTTGTAATTCCAGGGGAGGGAGATCCTTTATTAGACAGATGGCTCCTGGATGGGGGCTGGGCACCAGAAAGGCCAGGCCAGGACTGGACGCCTGCAGTGTTCTCCCATGCTCTTGAGGAGGGAGATGGACTGAAAATGGAGTTAATGATCAATCTCGCCTGCGTGAGGAAGCCTCCATAAAAATCACAACCGTGTGGAGGTCAGAGGGCTTCCAGGTTGGCAAACACACTCACACCCAGGGGGAGGGTGGCACACCCAGGGGGAGGGTGGCACACCCACTTCCCCTGAGACAGAAGCCCCTGTGCTCAAGGATCCACACACCCCTTCATCTGGATGCTCACCTGGATTCTTTTTCTTTTCTTTTTTAAAAAAAAATATATTTTATTGATTTTTTACAGAGAGGAAGGGAGAGGAATAGAGAGTTAGAAACATTGATGAGAGAGAATCATCGATCAGCTGCCTCTTACACACCCCCTACTGGGGAAGTGCTCGCCACCAAGGTACATGCCCTTGACCGGAATCGAACCTGGGACCTTTTAGTCCGCAGGCCAATGCTCTATCCACTGAGCCAAACCAGTTTCGGCTCACCTGGATTCTTTTTCCTCTCCTTGACTGAACGGGTAGACCTGTGTCCCGGAGTTCTCTGAGCTGGTCTAGTAAATTAATTCATCCCGAGGCAGGGGTTGTGAGAACCTCAGCTTTGTAGCCAAATCAGACAGAAGTTGTGAGGAACCTGGGGGACTTACTATTTGGGATTGGGGTGTGAAGTGGGGGGGGGGGCAATCTGGTGGGCGGAGTCCTTCACCTGTGGGGTCTGACGCTACCTCCAGGTCAGAATTGGGTAAAGCTGTAGGATGCCCAGCTGGTGCCCCAGAGAAGTGCTTGGTGTGGTCACACATTCGGTGACCAGAAGTATCAGCAGTGAAGTGTTCTGTGTGAATAGCATGCAGGAAAGGAAGGAAGGAAGGAAGGAAGGAAGGAAGGAAGGAAGGAAGGAAGGAAGGAAGGAAGGAAGGAAGGAAAACACAGTAGAGAAGAGCTGGGTATTTTCTGCACAAAAGGTAGACTGAACTGGGTTTTTCTAATTCAGTAGCAATCTCTTCTCAGTGTTGGATGGTCCTCCTTGGTCTCTCCTGCCCCACCTCCATGAGCCCCTAAATAAAAGCCAGTCACCCCCTCTCCATCCCTGCCTTCTTGAGGTTTTCCTCTTCAGAAGGGAGGGGCTCCCTGACCTAGTCCACCAGGGTCTGCATGCACTAGTGCGGGAACCAGTGTCTTCATGGAAGATGCCTTTGGGATGGCCCCGGGGACCGAGGGCTGCAGTCTGAGCCCACCACCCATGCAGGTGCTGGCATCTACTAAGCTCTCTGAATTCTTTTAAAATACAACGGAGTCCTCCTCAGGTCTCGGGACCCTACAGCTGCACCTTACCCCTCCTTTCTCTCTCTCCTTGCAGGAACTCCAGCCCCACCAATAGCCTCTAGTGACTGTCCAAAGGGGGAGCAGGGATGGAGAAGGCAGACAACTGTGGACTTGGTGGCCCAGTGGCCTTAGGCAAGACAGTTATTATATGTTCAGAGCGAGTTCTTTCCTGGCTCTCTTCCGAGTTTGGAGGCAGCGGAGTACAACAGTGAGAGCAGTGGGCTTGGAGCCCCAGGGCCTAGACTAGATAGAGTTCTGCATCTGACCTTGGCTGCTTGTGTGTCGTTGGGCGTGGATAGATGGTCTATAGAGTGTGGATAGATGGTGTGTGACAGCTAGATGGTGCTTTATGGTTCACGAGCACATGCACAGAGACCCATCATATTGTACCTCTCTGGCAGGTAGATAGCCTTGCCCCCGGTTTTAGGTAAGGAGACAGAAAGCCAGAGGTTAAATTGCCAGATTGGGGTCCCAAGGTCAGCAGCGGCGGAGCAGGACTGGAAGCCGGGGTCCTGATTCCAGACCTTGTCCACTTCTAAGTTCACCACATCCCTCTCAGAGTGGCCTCTAACTAAGGTGACCAGATTGTCCCGCTTTTGGTGGGACAGTCCAGATTTTTAACAATTTTCCCCACATCCCGTGGCGTTTTAAAAAAAGTCCCGATTCTTTCCAAAAATTGGGACTTTTTAAAAACGCCTTAGGACGCTGGAAAAACTGTTAAGAATCTGGACTGTCCCGCCAAAAGCGAGACGTTCTGGTCACCTTACTAAAATCCCTTACTGGAAAATTCCCCAACTCAGTAAGGAGGCTCTGTCTTATCTCCACAATGGGACTGGACCAGGTGACCCAGATGTCCTTCCAGTCCAGGGCACCCCTACCCAGCTCCTTAGGGAGAGGAACAATCCCCGACCCAGCTGCCGAGCCAAGGCAAGGAGGCAGCCAGGGACTTCGGCCCTCCTGGTGGTCTTACCCTGGGGGTCCCTCCAAGTAGGGGCCCGGCTGGAAAAGACAGATGGACTTCTTCTTGGACGGGTTAAAAAAGATGACATGCTCGTAGCCTTGTCCTTCCACTTGGATGCTCCTGGTGATGATGCGGCTGTCACTTTTTTCTGGGGAGAGATGAGCAGTGTGGCAGCTACAGAAGGGAGTGTGTGAGGCATGGGACCCAGGATGCAGTGCTGGTCATGCAGCACCAGGGTTGTCCTGAGTCAGGCACAGGGTCGAGGAAAGAACCAGAGGACACCCAGACTCCACCATCTGAGAGCCTTCCATCCGAGACCAGAGGCACAGCCCTGTCCCCAGGGAGCCCTTGATCTGGAGGGAAAAACACTCAGGAATTCCCTCGTTGAGGGTAGGGATAGGATCAAGGTCAAGACTTTAACAGACTTTAAACAGTAAAAAAACAAAACAAAACAAAACAGAGTTCATGTAATTTACATATAGTAATTCAAAATAACAGCAATGCAAAATAAGTGTAGAAAAGTCCACCACAATTCTGATATTTTCCCCCCTCAAGAAAACTACAACTATAACCTTTTTGGATGGATACCAAATTCTTTTAAAAATTATTTTGGTGTCCCTGCTTTTTTTGTGCCATAAACCCAAACACGTAGCCTTTGTATTATACTGTGTACATTCATCACTGGGCAGGAAAATCATATTTATGAACTAGAGGCCCAATGCTTGAATTAGTGCACCAGTGGGGTCCCTCAACCTGACCTGTGGGATCAGGTGGAAACCGGCTCATCCCCCGACAGGTCCCGGATTGCCAGAGGGTGCAGACCAGGCCAAGGAACCTCACTGGTGCATAGGCAGGGGAGGGATGCAGGAGGTTGGACAGCTGGAGAGGGATTGTGGGAGGGCTCCAGGGCATGTCAGCTGGACCCCAGCAGCAATCTAACCTACCCGTTGGAGTGTGTCTGCCACCTGTGGTCAGTGCACATCACAGCGAGTGGTTGAGCAGCCTTAGCATATCATTAGCATATTATGCTTTGATTGGTTGAACGGCCAACTGATCAACCAGACACTTAGTATATTAGGCTTTTATTATATAGGATGAGCAAGACAAGAAAATATGGACACACATACAAGGAAGATGGATGTGGGAAGCTCTATTATATAATGTGACTGTGGGTGTTTCAGGAGAGCCGGCCTGGGCCTAGCAGAGCGTGGACGGTGGGCCAGGCCTGTGGTGGAGACCTTTTGAATTGGGGGAGGAGGAGGATTTGGGATGAGGCAGGGCAGAGGCTGAGCAGGCAGTTCTCCATTGCGGCCGCTAGAGTGCGCTCTCTTTCCAGATGGGAGGAGAGGATACTGTCACTGCCTGCCTGGGGCTGCAGCAAGAGGGGTGAGATTAGCAGAAAGAACTTTTGGCTGAGAACTGGATGGGAGCTTTTTGGTTTCCTTCCTCAGAATCTTTCAACCCAGAACCTGGCTGAACCAACTCCCCTGGGCTGGAACACCTGTGCTGCTGTGACCACTCAGGTCAGGCCTTACCTGGGGGATCGGCTAATTCGGTTGGGAGTTTGAGCCCGTGGATGTGTTCTCTGTTGGACTTGAAGGAGGGCAGTTTGATCCAGCCGTCGGTCTCGGTCTTCTCCAGAAATTCCTGGTACAGGCCCAGCATGTCGGGACACCAGCTGGCATTGGGAAGGGCAAAATCCTTAAAGTCTGTCTTCTCTGGGCAGAATCTTGAGATCTGGGTAAGAAAAATCAGGGAGACTAGACATCTTCCTGGGGGTGGGGTGGTGACTGCTGCCTGGGCGGCAGGACTTCTAGGCAGGGTGCTCCTGCGTTCTTAGGTTCCTTAATCCCTCTACCAGTGCCGACTAGAGCATCTTCCCTGAGGAAGGTTGACTGGGCAAGGGAAGGAAAGGAATTGGAACTGATAGTAACGGAAGGAAGGACGTGCTGGTCGTGGTTTGTGCATTACAATTGTCCTGTTTTAAAACCCCGGAGCTAAAAACAACAACAAAACGAAACAAAACAAGCTGGAGAAGCTGCAGCAAGCTGGGCCGGAGTAATGGAGGGGAAAATCCCAGTGACATCTCTGAGAAGCTATCAGTGAAGAAGCTGCAGACCTCCCAGCAAAGCCTACAGGATCTCCAAGTCTGGATTTGCCACAGTCCGACGGCAAAGAAAACCTCAGCCATCCCCCTCCAACTCGGAGCAAGTAAACACAGAGAAACCGTCCCAGCTCCTCGCTCCAAAAACCCTTCCGGCAGCAGCAGCTTTGAATGAAGATGGAGAGAGCGAAGCAGAGGAAGTGCCTCTGGAAGCAAAGATGAGGCTGAGGAACGGGAGGGGAACTCTAACCTCAGCAGGACCGGCTCCTCCTAACAAAGGAAAGCACGGGCTTTCTGACAACCGGAAGCGATGGGAGTGAAATAGAAAATGTCACATTGGAAAGATCCATGACCAAGATAATTAAATGGCATGTTTTGAAATTGGGGTGTGGGTGGTACACCAATAAATGAGAGTTTGAAATTAAAAAAGAACAGGGTACAAACCTGTGAGCTGTTCTTTGAGACTGTGAATTGCTAGTATTAGCCCCCCCACCCCCCATAGAGATGGGGAAACTGAGGAAATATGGCTAAGGCTGCCAAGCTCGTGAGAGTGAGAGTGAATGGTCAGACTAGAGCCCATTTTAAGCGACTGTCAGGGGCCACTCCAGCTCTTCTCACAGCTGTGGGCCTGCCCTGGCAACAGGGTGGTTCCTCAGTAACAGGTTTTGGGTGCCTGGAGAGGTGGGTACCAACTGTGGGATGAGGGGTCTCCCCTGGCATCCAGTGCTCATGCACCAATCACACCTGGGGGCAGTAACCCTGGGGCTTGCCAAGACCACTCCTAGGGAAGGTCCTCCGTCTGGGGACGCCCCACCTCAGCTGCAGCAGCCCGAGTCTCACAGGAGGAAAGCGGTTTCATTGGTGGCCACATCAAATTCAGACTGGGACGGAAGTTCTGGATGTAGGCTACTTGCTGTTCCAAGAGCATCTTCCCTTTGCCAAATCACATAGCTCCCCAGTACACTGCCCGCCTGCCCCAGCCACCACCTGGGGAAAGGTTTGCTGAGGACCCCAGGAGAAAGGCTCTCCATCTCGCCGGGCTGGGAACTCACCCGGGAGGCCATGGAGGATCCAAACGCTGTGGCGGGGTTGCGGATGGGCAGGAGGCAGGGCGTGCCAGGAAGGGCTCTGAGGCGGCCCAGGGTGGCTGCCACTCGGAAGCCTCGCCTCATCATGGCTGAGCCCTGGGATCAGGTCTGCGGGGCTGCTGGAAGCTCACCTGCAGCTTGGGCTGTGGGTGCAGCCCGCTGTGAGGCAGGCCTCTCTGCTTTCTGTCGCAAGCTTTACTCAGCAAGCTTCCAGGGCAGGGGATTGGACAAGACCAAGCTGGTTTGAGTCAACACACCCATCTGTGTTGGAGGCCTCCGCTGATCCCAAGCCCCACCCAGTGCTTGGGGAGGGCCAGATGCTGCCTGGGCAGGAATGTATAGCAGGACAGGCTTAAGTTTAGGAAGAAATATGTGTTAAAGAAGAAAAAAAAAAGGAGGCCTAAAAAATAAGGTAGGGTACATGTCAACTTGGAGAGCTGCCCCGGAGTTTGGGGAGAGAACCCAAGAGAATTCCCAGAAAGATATGGGAGGATGTCTGTTTTTTTAAAAAATTTTATTGATTTCAGAGAGGAAGGGAGAGAGAGGATGAGAACAATAGAAACATCAACGATAAGAGAAAAATCATTGATCGGCTGCCTCCTGCACACCCTACCGTGGCGATCAAGTCCACAACCCGGGCATGGGCTCTGACTGAGAATTGAACTGTGACCTCCTGGTTCTTAGATGGGACGCGCAATGACTGAGCCGGGCCAGCCAGGTGGGGATGGTATCTCTTGAGTGTAGGGTTTTGGTGGCACGTCTGTGTAGGAGGGCGTGTTTATGTGGACCGTGCACCAGAAGCTCTGCTATGAGTCTGGGACTCAGAAAACCAATGCACAGGCCTTCACCAGGCCCTACTTTTATCCCAGACCAGGGTTGGCACCGGAAGCCTCCACCTGCTGACCCTGGCAGGAACAGGTGGGGTGGAGGCGAGGACAAAAAACCATGTGGGAGGAAGCAGCTTAGCAAGGCCACTCTGGTGCCGTGGGAACCCCAGGGAGGCGATGGTGGCGGCAGACAGCGCTGGGGGTGAGGGGGAGAGCAGGGCAATGGAAGTTGAGCCATTGCTAAGCTCAGAAAAGAGGAGGCTTGGAGTGGAGGGGGGAGGGGAGGAGTGCTTAGCCAGCATCTGCAAGATTGTGGACTTTTTAAAAAAAATATATTTTATTGAATTTTTACAGAGAGGAAGAGAGAAGGATAGAGAGTTAGAAACATCAATGAGAGAGAATCATTGATCAGCTGCCTCTTGCACACCGTCTACTGGGGATGTGCCCGCAACTAAGGTACATGCCCTTGACTGGAATTGAACCTGGGACCTTTCAGTCCCCATGCTGACGCCCTATCCACTGAGCCAAACCAGTTTTGGCTGTGGACTTTTTGGGTGGTGCTTCCTCTTTTGAGTTAAAACTGCCAATTTCTAGTTCACTAGAATAAAGCATATTCGACAGATCAGAACTGTGCAAAGGGGGCATTATAATAATGATGATGATATCTTGGTATCTGAAAGGCTAAACTGACATAATGTGGACCTTTACAGGTTTTGTCCCTAGAAGACTAGGAGAGATTTCCCTCACCTCTCAGGAGCCTCTGATGACACTTTGTTGAGAACTGGAGGGACCAGGTTTTTCTTGTTGCTCATCCTCACCCAAGGATAGTTTCCCACTGATTTTTAGAGATAATGGAAGGGTGGAAGAGAGACACAGAGGAAAGGAGAGAAAAAATATCATTGTGAAAGAGAGACATCAATTGGTTACTGTCCGCTCATGTCTGGACCAGGGCCAGCAATCGGAGCATGCAACCCAGGTACATGCCCCTGACCACAACCAAACCCAGTAACCTTCAGTCTGCAGCCAATGCTCTATCCACTGAGCCAAACTGGCTAGGGCAGGAACCAGTTTTTTTTGATAGTTTTGGGTTCTGGGTCTAAGCAAAAACATGTGCATTAGTCATCAACATTGAAAAAACAGAGTCTCGTACCGAGCAGAAGGTCACAGATCTCCAGATAAGCGGAAAGGTCTGGCAAGGGGTGCATCTTCATTCCTATGTGGCGGCAGCTGGCTGGAGCTGACGGCCTGGGCCCTCTGGTTTACCCCAGCCCGCCCCACCCCCACCCCCTGCCTCTAGTTCTAAGTATTCCTTCATCCCCTCTGCCAGCCTCTATGTGTGATATATATATATATATATATATATATATATATATATATATATATATATATATATATTTACTGTGTATGCAGGGTACTTTATTCTCCAGAGCAAACATGTCAAACTCAAAGACTAACCTGAGCCAAATAAACAAGGTTTATGTGGGCCGGAAAAAAAAAAACAAAAAACCAAAATACACACACACACACACACACACACCACACACACACACACACAAAGTTTCCATTTTCATGGAAACGTAGGTTTATTTAGAAAAGTATAGTATGAAAAAAACAAAACAAAACAAAGAACAGGAGCACTGATTAAAATGAATGCTTTCTTCCTGACACTTGGCATCTCTTCTCTGCAACTGTCTCTCCTACTTGGGGGGAAATCTTGTTCTCAGTGATTGCTTTCAAAACTGACCCAAGGTGAACGTCAGTAATTCTGGATCTGACAGGAGACTTGTTTCCTTTCATAATTGTAAATAACTGCTCACAACATTATATTGGCTGGACCGCAAAAACATTCGCTTCTTCACTGGGTTGGGCATGGGCCTATGCCCCCATATGTGCAGAACTGAATACACCACACGGGGCCTCTGAGAAGAAGTCTGATTTGTCTGGCTCCAGTGGAATGCAGGGAGATAAGGCGGCTCTCGGGCTGGTTCCCTCCAGGTAGGGGATGCCTGTGGGGCTTGGAGAGCCATCGCTACCACATGTCCCCACTGGACATCTGACATCTCCGATCCCAGGCGGGAGCCCCTGAGGCAAGAGGGCTTACTCCGGCCAATGTCCTTTTCACCAGCCCTACCTGCTCTGGCTCCATGGGAAACGGGCTGTGCTTGTTCAGTGGTATAGCTCTCCCTCATCTTCATCCAATGGTGGTTCTGGCAAATGAAGCCCAGGGCCTGCATCCGGTCCTGGATACTGGCAACTACATCTTCTCCATCCCCCCCACTGGGGCCAGTTCAGGATCTTGGTTCAGGGACTGGTAGGAGTTGCCAGCTGGGCCTGCCCCGGTTTCCTCCTGCTCTTCCTCAGGATCCTCACCGCTCCCATCCCCAGTGCCTTCAGTGCGGCCCTGGTGCAGCCCCAGCTCCTCAGTCTGATTGGGGCCCATGGTGTCTCCCCCTAGAACTACTGCTGCCATCCGGGCAGGGGCCGCTCAGAACCCACGTTCGAACCCACACCTTCACTTCCGGCGGGACAGCTGTGTGTGATTCTTGATTTGGTGGCCCCTGAAGGCGGGGAACTGATCCCAGAAAGGTTGCCCGGGGGGGGGGGGGGGGGGGAGGCGGGGATGCAAGGGCTGTTCTTCCCAGTCGATAGCTGCATCTGGGAAAGGGAATTCCGTTCCATTGCCTCAGAGCCACGTGGGAGCTGCCTCACGGCCCTTGCACGGCCAGACTTCCTTTGCAAATCGTACGTCCCAGTGGGATCTCCCGCTCTTGGTGCCTGACTAGAGGCAGATGTTGAGTTTGGGGGCTTCTCTTGCTGTGATATTATGCACCCCAACCAGGGATCAAACCCGCAACCTGGGTATGTGCCTTGCCTGGGAACGGAAACTGCACCCTTCTGGCGTACTGGATGACCCTCCGGCCCCCTGAGCCACAGAAGCCGGGGCTGCCTCGGGGTTTCTGCCTCATCCCGTGTTAAGGTTTTGGGCCTTGGTCGTGGGTGGGGTTAATGGGGAAGCTGGGGAAGGACAGAAGCCCAGCCTCAGACTAGCGACATGGGGAAGAGGCTGTCTTCACTGAGCCTGGGGCACGGGGTGGAGGCAAAGGATGTGGTTGCTACGGGCTCTGCCCAGAGGGCCCTGGGGTACCCAACTGGGAGGACAGGGCTGGTAAGCAGGAGTGATCACTGGGCTAATGGAGGGGGCGTCCCAGCAGAGAACAGGGGCAGAGAATGTGCCAGGACTGAGGGGACCCTGAGCTCCCCTGGAAATGGGAGAGCCCCTCCCACAGCTCAACTGGAACCAAGTTCCTATTTGTGAAACACAAAGAGGCAGAAGCAAGACCTCTAAGCTCAGAGAGCGACCAATGCTGAAGTGAGTGTGTGTGTGTGTGTGTGTGTGTGTGTGTGTGTTTACACACTCAGGGCGGGGCTCACAGGCTCTAGCCAATGTCCTGAAATCCCTTTGTCTTCAGCCCATACAATCACTTGAGAGGTGGTTTCTCCAGACCAATGATATGGCCACCTGCTTTACCAGCCTGGGGTAGAAAGTTAGGTCGAATCATTTTTAAAGCATCTGAAATGACTACCACCTGCCCCCATGATCTCCTGAGCCCCCTCACCCCCTGAAAACTCTGAAACCAGGTGCTACTAACTGTGCACCAGGTTAAGGACCAAGCTCATGAGCCCTCCCAGAAAGGTGACCCTTGTTCCCTTTCTTCGGGGCCGTGGGCATGCTGGGGGTGGAGCGTGTGTCCACATAGGGTGATCAGATGGGCACAGAGCCAGGACCTGTGGCCCTGGAGGTGCATCGGTCTTGCTGCTGAGTCACAGGAGGGGTAGGTGCGGTGAGGGCCTGTGAAGGCAAGTCCCCATCAGGCTGCGGGGGCACCACCACCAGGTCTTAGGAGCAGGCGGAGGGAGATGCTGGCTAGGTGATGGCGTAGCTCCCAGGTGGCACCTGGAGTAGTTTCTGAACCTTGTTCCTCACAGAGGAGCCACCTAGGGCTCTTCCGCCTCCAGCCCCCACCCCTGTGCTTCCCAAGCAAGGAGCCCTCTCCTTTTTTTTTTTTTTTTTTTTTTTTTTAAATATTTCTTTATTGATTTCAGAGAGGAAGGGAGAGGGATAGAGAGATAGAAACATCAATGATGAGAGAATCATTGATCGGTTGCCTCATGCACGCCCCCTATTGGGGATCGAGCCCACAACCTGGGCACGTACTCTTGATCAGAATCGAACCTGGGACCCTTCAGTCCGTAGGCCAACACTCTATCCACTGAGCCAAACCGGCCGGGGCCCCTCTCCTTTTGGGGGCAAATTTCCCTGTTACGTGCCCTGTAGTCACCCTTCTGCACCTCCCATCTCCCTAGACAGTCCTCAGACCTCCACTGCGATGGGTGGAGGGGCCCTCTTTCTTTCAAGATTCTTCTTACCTTTCACAAGAATTCCCAGAGCCCCAAACACAGGCAGGGATGGTTAGCATCTGCAAAACCAGTTCTTCCTCCCTGGGAGCTGGTAGGACTGTGTCTTCATACCTCTGGGGAATGAGAGCAATTTTAGCATTCCATTCTTTGAGTGGTGTGGCAAGATTAAGTATCCTGTTCAACTACCTGACCATGGATTCCTTGTTGGAAGCTAAGATGTTCAGGGGTATCTGGCTCGGGGGGCTCTACATTAGGCTCTGTCCATGAAGACAGAGGAAGAGCCCTCTAGGAGGGCATTCCCCCCCCTCCCCAAATTCTTATGTTGAAACCCTAATGTCCAATGTGATGGTACTAAAGGTGGGGTCTTTGGAAGATTCTTCCTAATGAGTATGGAGCCCTCATGAATGGGATTAGTGCCCTTATAAAAGAGGACCCAGAGAGATCCTAGCCCCACCCCTTCCTCCATGTGAGGGCACAGTGAGGTGCCAGCCATGCACCAGGAAGCAAGCCCTCAGCAGAAGGGGGCCATGCTGATGCTCTGATCTTGGACTTTCCAGCCTCCAGAGCCATAAGCATTAAATTTCTGTTGTTTATAAGCTACCTACTCTGTGGTATTTTGTTATAGCAGCTGAATAGATTAAGACACACAGGAAACAAAACAAGGCTCCTTCCAGTGACGAGAAACTATGCTGTTGGAAAGAAACAATTGCACACCCATGTTAAAGATGGCACAGTGGTGGTATCCCTAGAATCCAAGAGACCCGAACTGAAGAATCTATTCCTATGGGAACGAATTGTGTTTCCTACTATAGTAAACAAGATTTTGTTTTATTTTAAAATATATTTTTATTGATTTCAGAGAGGAAGGGAGAGGGAGATAGGAACATTAATGATGAGAGAGAATCATTGATCAGCTGCCTCCACTATGCCCCACACTGGGGATCAAGGCCACAATCTGGGCATGGGCCCTGACCAGGATTCGAACCATGACCTCCTGGTTCATAAGTCAACGCTCAAAACACTGGGTGGTCTCAAAAAGATTTTATTTATTTATTTATTTATTTATTTATTTATTTATTTATTTATTATTTTTTAAATACATTTTTATTGACTTCAGAAAGGGAGAGGGAGATAGAAACATCAATGATGACAGGGAATCATTGATCAGCTGCCTCCTGCACGCCCTCAACTGGGGAACAAGCCCTTGACTGGAATCAAACCTGGGACCTGCAGACTGATGCTCTATCCACTGAGCCAAACTGGCTAGAGCTCAAAAAGATTTTAGACACAATGAAATTAGCTTTGGAATTTACAAACCATGAATGCACACATTAGACACACATGCATATATGCATGTACGTATTGGTTTTCTGGAATTTCCAAGTTTACAGCTATCACCTTAAGGAGTCCATTCAAATTGCAGGAAAAACATTTATTCTAAGGACACAGCAATTCTAAGAGTGCTGAGACTCTCTTAGGAAGTGCTTCTGTGTTAGGAAGTGTAGAAGGTGGAACAGAGCTCCTGGAGCTGTATTCAGAAGACTGTTCGGGAAGGCAGTGCAGCAGGCTTCACCGCATGGGGGCTATCATAGTGGGCGAGCAGAGCAGGACTGGGGAACACAGCCTCTTGTGAACAGAGAGCCTTAAGCAGGTAGAGGATTCAACACAGCTTCTTTTAGGTCATACTTTTTTTTTTTAGGTTCCAGCATTATAAATAAGCCTAAATGAACAAACAACAACAAAAAAAAACAGAAGTTGATTATAAGTCAGCTGACTTCAACCTGATGGGACTTTTCTAAGTAGAAATATATATTTAAAAAAAGGCATTTAGATTCACATTTGTTCCTTCAGCCTATCTCTTATTTTTCAGCCAAATTAAGAATCAACTTTTGATTATATCAATACTGTATTATCTTCCTAGGTAACCAGATCCTCTACCACTTGGTCATTTCATGGTTCATTACCACTTCCATTAGAGAGAGTCAGGGAAGTGAAAGGAAGTACAATCACAACGAGGCCATCTGGTACCTTTAGGTTGCTGAAAGATTTAGTAAGATGGGAAGTATAAACCACAGCCTGGAATGGAGTTTTTAAATTGATTATTGATTCAAATTATTTATGATCTTCCTCCTGCTTCTTTCACCCATCATTCCTGCAAATAGGTGATGCATAGGGGGAAAATTAATTTCTTAAACAAAAAGCATTAACCATTAAAAAAAAAGTTAATAAATATGACTATATTAATATGAAAAACTTTTGTTCAGAAAAAATACTTCTTAAAGAAAATAAAAAACAACTTATATACTAAAAGGAGATATATGCAGTTTATGTATCCAATAAAAAGAGTAGTTTAATGTAAAATAATAAATGTAAATCAGAAAAAATGAAAAAAATAATAATAAAAGAGGCTGAACAAACAGAATGGGAAACAAATATGGTCAATAAGTATATGAAGTGCCAAAACCGGTTTGGCTCAGAGGGTAGAGCATCTGCCTGTGGACTGAAAGGCACAGGTTTGATTCTGCACCTGAGATTCCTTACAATAAAAAATACAAACAAACAAAAATATCTGGATATCTAAATCTGTCTAAATCTTTTTTTTTTTAAATATATATTTGATTGATTTTTTTTACAGAGAGGAAGGGAGAGAGACAGAGAGCTAGAAACGTTGATGAGAAACATCGACCAGCTACCTCCTGCACACCCCCTACCGGGGATGTGCCCCACAACCAAGGTACATGCCCTTGGCCAGAATCGAACCCGGGACTTTTCAGTCCGCAGACTGATGCTCTGTCCACTGAGCCAAACCGGTTTTGGCTAAATCTGTCTAAATCTGAAGGGAATAAAAGTGAGGCTTCAAGGGTCCTGCACTTGCAAAGATGAGAGCAGGGGGTTACACAATACTTAAGGATGCAGTTGGGGAGCATTTCAATGTGAGCATGTCTAACAAACTGCTATAGCGATCCCAGAAGGAAGGGACCTGCATCTCCAAGACACCAGTAATATGTTGTGATTTCTTTTCTCATGTAAAATAAGAAAACCTTCTGATGCGTGGGAGGACACTGCACCCAGCTGAGCCACCCAGCCAGGGCCCACAGTACTTTTTTATGGCACACACAATATAGTTTATGAAAAGCCTGTTATCTTTTTAATCAGTCCCTATCTATGGATGTCGGTGTTTTTGCCAAATCTCGTGCTATTCCAAATAATGTTGCATAAACAACACACTTACTGGGACCCTAGAGCAATCGCATACATTGAGATTTTGCACAAGTTAGTACACTTGTGGGATTACGTCCTGGAAATGGGTCAAAGGGTGTGTGTGTGTGTGTGTGTGTGTGTGTATATATATTTAATGCTGTAATTTTGAGAAATGTTGGCAAATAGCTCCCTATTGGCACGTGTATGGAATATCTTTAATTTATTATTTGAATGACAGGAAATTAAAAATTTCTGGACATGTATGGCTCATAAAACCAAAGCAAAAAACAAAACAGCCGAAACCGGTTTGGCTCAGTGGATAGAGTGTCGGTCTGTGGACTCAGGGGTCCCAGGTTCGATTCTGGTCAAGAGCATTGTGTAACCCCGGGGTGTGCAGGAGGCAGCTGGTGGATGATTCTCTCTCATCGATGTTTCTAGCTCTCTATCCCTGTGAAAAGAAATCACAACATATTACTGGTGTCTTGGAGATGCAGGTCCCTTCCTTCTGGGATCGCTATAGCAGTTTGTTAGACCTGCTCACGTTGAAATGCTCCAAAGTACCTTGGTTGCATGTACCTTGGTTGCGGGCACATCCCCAATAGGGGGTGTGCAGGAGGCAGCTGGTGGATGATTCTCTCTCATCGATGTTTCTAGCTCTCTATCCCTCTCCCTTCCTCTCTGTAAAAAAGAAACCACACACAAAAACAAACAAACAAAAAATCCAACAATCATCAAAACAACAACAAAAATAGACCCAGAAAAAACCCCTCACTCAAACAAAACCCCCAAAGGAAAAACACCCAAACCAAACAAAAAAAAAAGGGAGTGGCGGCTCCTTACTTGTTGCCTCTGTGTATAGGATCTTCCCATCAATACTTTGAACTTTACAGGACACAAACAGTTTCCTTCCTTCAATTTTATCAAGTTGGCTATTTATCAAAACAGTAGAACAAAGGGGGATAGGACTGTAGGAGAAAAAAAAAAAAAAAGGAAAAAAAAAATCAGTTTTTATCAGAGTTTTGTAACATTCAGAGATGATCAAGTGTACGATACCTGATGTCAGTAGTGTCACTGTCCTAGATAAAACATTCCTTAAAGAGGCTGATCTGACTCCTGCTATTGCTACTGATGAGCTTACTGCCAGCGCAATGGTGCCCCCTTGCTTCTAAGAAACATGATTGCTCTGTAATGCCCTTGTATCTCTTGTTTTTTAAAGATTTCTTTGCCTTCAGTATTCTTTAATTTCTCTGTAATATATCTAGATATGAATTTATTTTTATTGACCTTGCTTGATATACGTTGTGCTTTCTGTGTCTGTGGGCTCGTAGTTTCCTTTGGTTCAAGAATATGTTCATCCATCCTCGCTCCAAATACTGGATCCCTTCCATTCTCTCTACTCTTCTTCAAGGACTCTGAATAGATCACCTTATAAATTTAATCTGTCCTCTATAGCTTAGCCTCTATTTTATATTTTCCATCTCTCTCTTTTTCTTGTTTTTAAACAATTGCATTTTCATTTCTAAAAATTTTAATTTCTGTGGCAAATCTGCTTAATAATACTTAATAATTGTTATAGTTTCTTGTTGCTTTCTCTTTTTGTGATTTAATCTTTTATTTCTTTAAACATCTCATACACTGTATCTGATTATCATATCTTAAGTCCCTGAGGATCTAAATATGTTATTAATTGTTTCTTGCTGATTCTTACTTATGGTGGTTTGTTTCCTTGTGAATTTGACACAGGATCTAATTGTTAGGAAAGGGAATTGTCCTTTGGAATTTCGTGTCTGCATGCTGCATGAAAAAGCCTAATCCAGAGCTTCCCAACCAATAAACCATGGATGGGTTAGAGAAATGCTGAGATATTGATCTTGCAGCTGGCTAGCCACCACTAATCATTAGCTGCTTTGTCTATTTGTCTTAATAAGTTTATCTTAATGTGCTAAGCATGAGGAAATACATTAAGATACTAAAGGCCATATATGAAAAGCCCACAGTTAATATCACCACACTCCATGGTGAAACACTGAATGGTTTTCCTCTAAGATGAGGAAAAAGATAAGTATGCCTACGTTTGCTATTTCTATTCGGCACAGCACTGTAAGTCCCAGCCAGAGCAATGAGGCAAGAAAAAAAGGCATCCAAATGTTCACAGGTGACATGATCTAGTATATAGAAAAACCCAAAGATTCCAAAAAAATCTATTAGAATATAAAGTCAACACACAAAAATCAGCTGCATTTCCATACACTAACAATGAACAGTTTGAAAAGAGGATTAAAAAAAACCAAAAACAATTTAATTTATGGCAGTAGCATCAAAACTAACATACTTAGGAATCAACTTCACCAAGGAGGCCAAAAACTTGTACACTGAAAACTGCAAAACAATGCTAAAGGAATTTAAAAATACAAATAATTGGAAAGACATCCTGTGCTAATGGGTTGAAAGACTTAACAATTTGAAGAGGCCCACAGTACCCAAAGCGAAATATAGCAGTGAGGTCACCCAGCTCACCCTGGCAAGTGTGTAACTGTCTAATATTTTTCTGATCTTTAGCACTATTCTCCATGGATAGGAATCAAGGATCTTTGTAGCTATTCTTTGCCCTGGCACAGATGTGCCTTGTTGCTAGAAGTAAAAATAACGGTAACAACAACAACAATAATAATAATAATAATAACAAACCGCTAACACTTACTGAGTACTTGTTATGTGGCCAGATACTGTCCTAGTTTACATGGATTGATTCATTTACTGCTCACAATGAGACATGCCTAGGAGTATATGGTCCCCGGGGTAGGATTTCCCTATGACTGATGACTGATGTGTGAGAGATGTGAAGTCTCCAGTTCCCTTACCTGAGGTAGGGGCATTTCTGAGGCACACGTTTCACTCCAAAGTTCCATGGGTGATCAGGCTGCTGCTCCCTTTGGTGGGACTGTGAGCGCAACCTTCGGTGGCTTCTTCCCCTTCCCTGTCCTGCTTCTCCTACTGCCTCGCTAGCTTTCTTCTGGGAGCACAGTCTTAATACTTATTTGCACACACATCTTTGTCTCGGGGTCGGCTGCTAGTAAACCTGATCTATGGACACCTAAGAAGTAGAGAATACCTGTGAATTTACCTTTTAAAATTGATGTTGAGATTGGCAGTCATGACAATTCCCCCAGATACAATTGCATTCATACCAACAGTAGCATCAATTATGGTGGCAGTGGCACCTCCGTGAAAGAATCTAGTTGTAATCAAAGGGAAAGAAGTGTTTTGAAAAAGTCTGAAGAGAGAGAGAGCGCGCTTTAAGGGAGAGGAAGATTATCCAAGCATCTCCGTATCATTTGCTTAAGAAAGGTCCACTCTTTCCATGTTCTGTGTATTGAATGTCAACTATCCATGTCCTCAACTGTACTGTGTTCATACCACAATAGTGTAGTACTTATGATAAACCAGGTAATCAGATCACAAGCAAGCAAAAAGTTAAACTATCATTTAGAGAAGTCATAAACTCTACACATCATTGTGTAAAAATTTAGGAAATGTAGGTAAACAAAAGAAAATGAAAAATAAATAAAAAATGATGAGGCCCTTTAGAGACAAGTCACTGTTAACATGCCAATGATACTCTCTCAATCAAATAATACTCTATTTTTGCATGAAGATTTGTGCAATAGACCTTTCTTCCCTTGGCTGCTGGCACGGTTTTCTTCTGGCACCCGGGACCCAGGCCTTCGTTGCGGCTGCAGCAGAGAAACCAAGCCTCGAGGCCCTGGCCTGAGTGAAGACTGAAGACTGAAAAGGCTTGGCTTCTCCGCAGCAGCTGGAGCAAGAGAAGCCTTGAGGCTTAGCTTCTCCCCTGCGGCAGTTCCGGCAGCAGCGAGGCTTGGCTTCTATGTTCCTGCTGCAGTGGAAAAGCCAAGTCTCAAGGCTTCTCTGCTCCAGCTGCTGCAGAGAAGCCAAACCTCTTCAGTCTCCAGTCTTCAGTCTTCATTCAGGCCAGAGCCAGAGTCTTTGCTCTACGTCTGCCCATGTAAATAAACCCGGCATTTTTTGTTGGGTTAATTTGCATACCCACTCCTGATTGGCTGGTGGGTATCACAGAGGCATGGTCAATTTGCCTATTTCTCTTTTATTAGTGTAGATTGCTTTATGTCTCCTATGCTTTTGTGATTTATTATAAACATCTTTCCATGACAATAAATGTCTCTACATCACCATTTTAATGCCTTCATTCTAGTCCATGAACACACAGGGAGAATGTAAAATAATACTCTTTTAGACCCACATTTTTAGGCCGTCATTCTTACCCAGGCATTCCTTGCAGGTGAGGACCTCCTTGAAACACACAAACTATCCTTTTCTCAGCCTTATTATAGAACATCACATATTCAAAGCCCATGCCATCCTCGAAGCCTCTGGTGAAGAGCTGGGCCTGCGACAGTTTTTCTTTGTTTATCACCTCGGAGGCTGAAGGGAAATAAGCTGGATGGGCACATGAGAAACACGTATGAGAAAGATGCTATCACAGAGAAGTGCTGAGACTATGGGAGGGTGGAGGTTCTCTGGGGTCTTTTGTGCACTCCTGCTAATGGTAATGAGGATGCCAGCGGAAGACAGTCTTATTCTTGGCAAAGCTTTATTCCTTCCCACAAACTAGAAAATTCATTGATGTTTCCCGGTCTAGAAAACTGGAGAATATGAAAACCTCTGCAAAACACTTTTCCCCTTCTCAAGTGGTAACTAGTGCTTCAATCTGTTCTTAGTTTTATATTTGATATTTAAATATTCTCTTTAAAAGTATGTCTTTATTGATTTAAGAGAGGGAGGAAAAGAAGGCAGGGGTGAGATATATATCAAGAAATATTTATGTGAGAGAAAAACATCCATCAGCTGTCTCCTGCACAGCCTGTATTAGGGATCATGCCTGCAACCAGGGCATGTGCCCTGACCAGGAATCAAACCAATGACCTTTTGGTGCATGGGAGGATGCAACTGAGCAACATCAGCCAGGACAATATTTAAATATTCCTTTGGTGCATGGGAGGATGCAACTGAGCAATATCAGCCAGGACAATATTTAAATATTCCTTAAAAACTGCTGTTCCTACCATGAATAAAGGCTGAGAAGTCTTGACTCCTTTGAGCTGATATTTGCTCATATGAAGCCAACTGTATCCAGGAGCCATCTTCACATTTCTTTGTGAACTGGTCAAAGAGGCGTCTCATGTCTTTGCCCCAGCAGGGTTTGGGGAGAGAATGGTCCTTATCAAGGACTTTCTCAAAAGAAAGCAACCTCTAAAAGAGAAGAAAAAGAAGAGTAATGGGAGGTGCAGTCTATGTCATAACACATTCACTTTTTTTTTTTTTTAAGACTATTTTGCTGCTTTTCCTCTTCGCAAAAGCTTTTCATTTCAGAGTGGAAGCAAATTTCAAGGATAATCTGGTCCAACCTCCCTGGGGAAAATGAAGATTGTGAGAGGGTAAATGGTTTGCTCAGTGTCACCCAACTAGCTACTGCAAGAGTCAGTATCAAGCCTGATTTCAGAGAGGAAGGAAGGAGAGATAAAAACACCAATGAGAGCCCTAACCGGTTTGGCTCAGTGGCGACAGAGCCTTGGCCTTCGGACTGAAGGGTCCCAGGTTTGATTCCGGTCAAGGGCATGTACCTTGGTTGCGGGCACATCCCTAGTAGGAGTTGTGCAGGAGGCAGGTGAATTGGTGTCTCATCGATGTTTCTCTCTATCCCTCTCCCTTACTCTCTGCAAAAAATCAATTAAAAAAAAAAAATCAATGAGAGAAAATCATTTAGCAGTTGCCTCCTGCATGCCCCACACTGGGTATCCAGTCTGCCACCCAGGCATGTGCTCTAACCAGGAACTGAACTGTGACCTCCTGGCTCAAAGGTCGATATTCAACCCACTGAGCCACACAGACCAGGCAGGACACTTTTTAAAAAAAATATATTTTATTGATATTTTACAGAGAGGAGGAAGGAGAGAGATAGAGAGCTAGAAACGTCGATGAGAGAGAAACATCCATCAGCTGCCTCTTGCACACCCCTTACCGGGGATGTGCCCGCAACCAAGGTACATGCCCTTGACCGGAATCGAACCTGGGACCTTTCAGTCTGCAGACCGCCGCTCTATCCACTGGGCCAAACCGGTTTTGGCCACTTTTTTTTAACTTCACATTTCTTCCAAATCAAGTGACTATTGAATACACCAATGAAATAAAACTTAGTGGTATAAGGAACAGCGATAGAAGGCAATATTTATTTATTATTAATGCCAGGCACTGTGTTAAAACAACAACACTTTGCTTGTATGATCTCCTTTCACTCCTCTGAGGAACCTGGCTTGGAGAGGGTCTGATGACCTGACAGGCAGAGAAAAGGAGGATTAAGCCTGGGGAAGGGAGGGCGCTCACCGCGGGCCGCGGAGGCAGTCCCAGGGCAGCCCTGCCACGTGTTTCCGGTGTGACCTTGTGTGAGTAACCTGACCTTCCTTCACTCGGGTCAGTGATGGGGGAAGTCCTTCACGCACAAGCCAGGGTCCAGTGTCCTGCGCGCTCCCAAAGCCGAGTCCCCTTCCTACGCGGCCTCTCCGGGTCCCAACCCGGGGCTGAAGGATCCTGCGGCCGGTGTGTGCCTTTCCTCTGAGGACACTGGGCTGACCTCATGCCTACGCAGCTCAAGGCGTGGGTTCCTGACACAAAGCCTCGCCACAGCGCCCGCTTCTCCGCCCCGGGATCACTCACCCGCGAGAGGCCTAGGCTCCTGGCCGGCGGCGCGCCCCCGCGCACGCCGCGCAGGGCCCCGAGCGCGCGCGCGGCGCCGCGCCCCAGCATGGCTCCCAGGGCGCGCGAGGACCCGGCCCGGCCCGCGGCGACCGCCGACTCTCCCGGCTGCACCCCTGCTCTTCCCCTTAAAGCCTGGGGAGGGGGGCGGGGCCTGGCGCGAAGACCACGTGCTCGCGAGGGGCGGGATTGGCTCCGCCCCGCCCCGCCGTGGCGGCACAGCGACCCCTGGCGCCTGCGCGTTGCGAGTGCAGGAGTCGCCGTCATTCCTCCCGCTCCCTCCGCGCCACCGAACTCAGCGCAAAAGGCCCTTGGACGGGTGGGTAGGAGCACGCTCAGTGCATTGCAGGAATGAAGTGTTTCTTGGCAGGCGGACCCTGGGATCGGGTTGGTATTGGCTTACTGAGAGCTTTCTGGGTGCAAACAGTAAATGCTTAAAAATGCCCTTATCTACGGCTCCACGCCCCAGCCCTCCCGTACACACGCCCTGAAACCTTTCCGCAGAGCCCAAAGTCCTTCAGTCAGTCTTTTCCAAATAGAAATAGAAATCGTAGAACATCTGAAGGATGTGTTGCCTCTGGCTTTGGAGACAAACCTGAGTTCAAGCTTCCCCTCCACCCCTTAACACCTGTACAGATACTTCAACTGCACCCGGCCTCTGTTTACTCTTTTGTTTGTTGTGAGAACGAAAAAAGAATGTATATCCGCCCTCACGGTTGCCACGGCCTTCTCTTTCAGTGGGAATCACGAAGTTGGAAGTTACCTGGCCTTATTCTATGTCCTTTACAAAGAAGGTGTCCCCAGAAGCTGACTTGTGCCCTGACTCGGAATTGAACTTACAACCTTATGATGCTCCAAACGGCTGAACCAACCCACCCAGGGTTGATCTGGTCTCATTTTTTTGCTGCCTGAGCCTTCCTTTATATTTCTTATAGTGTAGTTTCCGGTGAGTTCTTGTAGTCTGAAGTGTGGTAATGTATTCTTCTCAGCTTTCCTGTGTTTGAATGTGTCATTATTTTGCTATCACTTTTGAGAAATTATTGCTAAATTTAGGATTCTATGTTGACAGAATTTTCTTTCAGTATTTTAAAGCTATTCCTCTACTATATTATCACTTGCATTATTTCTGATAATAAATCTGATGTCACTCTTACCTTTATCTATACACTAGAGGCCCTGTGCACGAAAATTTGTGCACTGGGAGGTGGTGGTCCCTCAGTCCGGCCTGCCCCTTCTTACAGTTTCAAGAGCCCTCAGGGGATGTCCTACTGATGGTTTAGGCCCTCTCCCCTGGGTAGCGAGCCTAAGCTGCAGTCTGGCCTCCCTCTGAGGGAGGCGACTGGGCTGATCAAGGGAAGGTGCCTCCCCCATCATCCTGTTGCTGCTGCCACTGCCACTCTGCCGTGGCCACGCAGCCACTGGGGCTCAAGGCTGCTGTGATCTCTAGGCCTCGCAGCCACTGTGGCTTTGTCTGGAAGATGTCTGCCCTAATTAGCATAATACCCTTTTCAGGGTTTCCCAAAGTGTGGTACGCGTACCCCCAGGGGTACGGGAAGAATTTGGTGGGGGTACACGTTGCACTGGAGTTTGGTGGGGATATGAACTGCACCGTGCTTAGCTGCACCTAATTCTACGTTCTCATGAGTACAAGGGGTACTCAGCGTTACGAAAATTATAGAAGGGGTACACATATGTCAAAAGTTTGGGAAACACTGAAGATGATCTACCTTCTTCCTCTGAATTCTTTTGCAATTTTATTTTTATCATTTTTTCCCCATTTGGTTTTGATGTGACTCAAATGAACCATGAACATACAAGAATTTTGAGTTGCTTTCAAACTTATATTTCCTGATTAGAAATCTAGAGATTGGATGTCTCCTTGTGCCCCACCCTACCCACCTCATCTAGGTAGCAGATACTCTTAAGTTTTTCATGTAAACCAGTGGTCTCCACATTTTGTTTTTTGCTAGCATACTCTTAAAATAATTCTGAAAAATTTTATATCCTTTATACATATTAAAGTTGATATCCAAGATTCTCCTCATAAACTTAAGTAGTTGTAAGGTTCATCATCTTTTTGTGACTTGTATAATGAATACGCACTTGCAATTTATTTTCATCAAAATGTTGGGGCTGCAGATTTAGCTCGTTCAAGTTTTGGAAAATGCTCACCCTATGAATTCATGGCGAAATCAATCCTCACTAGAAAAACAGCCAAATTGGAGTTTCTATTAGAAAAAGTCTGTCTCCCCCCCCCCCTTTAAATAATGATGCCAATTGGTATCTCTCTGGTAACCACTTTACTTCTGAATTTTAAGTTACACTTATACATTTTATTTACTTATTAAAACATATTTTATTGATTTTTCACAGAGAGAAAGAGAGAGGGATAGAGATTTAGAAACATCAATGAGAAAGAATCATCGATCAGCTGCCTCCCACTGGGATGTGCCCGCAACCAAGGTACATGCCGTTGACCGGAATCGAACCTGGGACACTTGAGTCTGCAGGCCGAGGCTCTATCCACTGAGCCAAACCATTTTCAGCCACTTATACATTTTAAGTTGCATTTATACATAACCTGGATGATAATAAGTTGCTGCCCCCACTTAGTCTTTTTGGTGAATCCCTCTCAGGTTTGTTGTCATTGGACTTTTCCTCAGGAAGAATGTATCGGCAACCCCCAGAGAGATTCTGGATGAAAAGTTTGCCTTTTCTCTGTGCAGTAGGAGAAGGGTGATTGAAAATGGAGGTTGGAAAGAGAACCTGTAGACTTCAGTATCATGTTCAGGCAGGTACAATTCATTTCGTTTCCATCTTGGTTTAGTGTGTAGGGTTGTGTGGATCTTCAGGTCATTTTAATCACCTATGGTAGGGAGATTTCTATGTGGGGGGCCAGGTAGAGGCTGTTGGAATTTCTTAACTGTCAGACTCTAGCCACACAGGACCCTTTTCAGGTCCTGGAATACCCTAGGCCCGTGGTCGGCAAACTCATTAGTCAACAGAGCCAAATAGCAACAGTACAACGATTGAAATTTCTTTTGAGAGCCGAAAACCGACTTCTGCGCATGGGCCACGAAGTTTCAATGGCACTGTATGTGCGCGCCCGCACGTGGTATTTTGTGGAAGAGCCACACTCAAGGGGCCAAAGAGCCGAGTGTACCTTGCGAGCCACAGTTTGCCGACCACTGTCCTAGGATCTTAGCAGCCCCAGGGCCTTCTTTTTCTTTTTTCTTTTTTTCATATATTTTATTGATTTTCTTACAGAGAGGAAGGGAGAGAGACAGAGAGCTAGAAACATCGATGAGAGAGAGAGAGTCATCGATCAGCTGCCTCTTACACACCCATCACTGGGGATGTGCCCGCAACCAAGGTACATGCCCTTGACCAGAATCGAACCTGGGACCTTTGGCTTTATTCACTGAGCCAAACCGGTTTTGGCTCAGGGCCTTCTTGTGTGTTGTTCCTCAGCTGGCAGTGCACTCCCTATCCCCCCACTCCAACCTGGCTAACTCCTACTAATTCTTTGGTCTCAGCATAATTGTCACTCTCTTAGTGGGACCATCCTTGACCAAATTGTTTACTATGTGTCCACCTCTGTGCTAAATTGCTTCCCATACAATATTTTATTTCATCTGAATTTGGTCCTCAGTAAATTTTCTCATAGTAGCGGGAACTTTTCCTTTAAAGCACTTACCATTGTTTGTAATTAAGCACATATTTTTGTGCTGTTTTCCTCCGGAGACGATAAGCTTTCTCCATGTCTCTGCATCCCTAGTGTCTACCGGCCGACCATAGACACTCAGAAAATGCTTGGTGAATGAACAAATGAATGGGAAACATTTGGAAGGAGGTTGGGTGGATTCCAGTGGATTCTAAAACCATCTAGATGCTGGTAAGTCCCAACTTTTTATCTGTACTTAATCACTAGGCTAATTGTGTGAAACAGCCATTCTCATTTCTATTTACAGATGAAATGCAGAGGGGAAATTGTATGTTGTGGTGCCTACCCCATCACATGTAGAGTTTGATGGATGTTATGATGCATTCCTAAGAAGATTCTGCTATATTGGTTTTATTACAGAATGCTGGGTTGTTCTTTTTTTGTTGAGCTCAGAGTTACGGATCCCCATATCTGTTATGTAAAAGCAGTTGGATGGACGGACTGGACCAAGCTGTGCGATGAAGATTCTGGTAGTGAGTGGGGTCAGCTGAACTGGATAAGAAGCATTCTTTACAGAATTCTAACTTAAGAAAGCTTATTTTTTGCTTTAGTATGCCATGAGTAATAACAGCACCATTGACAAATACTTACAAATGTTCAATACAGATTGTAAGGAGCCAACATGTGACTCAAGGAACAAATCCGCTTCTGTCGTGGCATTATTGTCAGCACACTGCCTTTGCTGGGGTATACAACCATGTAGGATTAGACACTAATCCAAATGCCTCAATGGACTTGAAAAAGAAAGCTACCATAGGTTGCTGGTGCAATTGTTCTTGTATAAGTTGCTAAATCCCGAGCTAGTGGAATTCGAGTTAAGCCTTACGGGCCAGCGGGAGCAAATGAGGAGAGCGTGAACATGCAGGGACAGAGTGTCCAAGAGTGATTTTCATGCCAAAGGAGAGTGCGGAATCATTCGGCAAGTTCGTGGAACTACCGATGGTTTGTGTGGGGTTGGGCATTTGCTAGGAGGCGGGTGTACGGAGAAATGAGGCCGGGGAAGCAGGCAGGGCCTTCAGCATCCTGAAGGACTATTACCGTCTGTGCTAATGAGCTTAGGGCTTACTCTCTAGGCGGTAAGGAGGCGCTGAAGGACTGTTAGCTGAGGGGTAATGCCTGATTATTATTACGAGTTGGCTTCTGGTCTCACAAGGGACATAGAGCTCTTCACAGTATACTTTTCTCTTTGGACTAACGTAATAAAAGCTACTATTAATACTTCCTGAAGGGCTACCAGGTACTATTATAGATACTGAATGAAGCACTTTATATACCCATGATATCTCATTTAACTCTCACAGCAGCCCTAGAAGATCTATCTTGATAG